GCCTAAACCCCCTACTCTAATCCCTTTCCCGGTCGTTTCCATTAGAAATCGACTAACACTCTCGGTTTTTTCTTTTTCTTCTCTATCTCCTTCACTCCGCCATAGCTCCGGCGCACCACCCTTCTCTAATAGTTCTCACTCTACTAACTCCTTACTAATTCTGACATGAGAAACGGAGTCGCCCTGTACAAAAACCTTGGAATCCTTTTTTTCCCCGCCCAAATCCGTTCCTTAATGGATGAGCTATGCCCCTTCTCCATCGCAGTTCCCTCCGAATGAACCCGGCGCAGACTCGCGCCCAGGTTCATTCGTTCTACCATCCATCATCCTGACTCTTTCCGCTGCCGCCCCGTCGCCCCCACTGCCTGTTGCTTCAGCGCCCAACACTCGTTCCCTGTCGCCGTAAACTTTGCGCTCGTCCCTCATGCGCTATCACCCCGCTGTCTGCCCGATACCCCCTGACCAGCGTTGTTTTCCTACAACGCTCGACCTACTCTCCGCCCCCTATCCGCTCCACAGCCGCTCCGACTGTATGTGGCACAGTCCGCTGCCCAGGTTCATCCTGGGCTCCCTCCCCACGTCCGTCGGGCTCACTGCTCCACCACCCCGTCTGGCTCTGTGGTCCGCTCCGCCCCCAACTGCCCTGTACAGCTAGCTGCGCTCGGTGGTGGCTGCGATCCTACTCCCGACGAACTTCCCCTCGGCCTTGTTCTGCACAGGCCAGCGCCTGCCTGTTCTCCTCCGCGCAGGCCCTGCCACCCCTTCGGCCCTTCAACGGCCAAGTCCCACTCACGTCCCTTACCGCAGGCCATGGGGCCAAAGGCGTGGGCCTGCCATATGCCTGGGCCCAGTTGCAGCGGCCGGGCGCAACCTTTGTGGGTGTTGGGATGTACAAATAGGACTTTTGCCCGGCCCCTCCTTCGCGTTTCGCTATCTCGTTCAGGCACTATCTGCCTTTCTCCTCTGAGCTCGGAAGGCATGCCCGACAAATAGAACACACCCCCACGCGGCCGTGTCTGCGGGTGCGGCTTAGGTCGCGACACCGCGACCATGAAAAAAGTAAATAAAAAAAATAGTAAATGTCGGGGAACCGCGGGGCTGTCGGCACCCTGCCAACCCCACGGATTGGGCCCGCCGCAGCGCCCGTAAACAAAACCGAGGGGGATAGCCTTCGCGGCCCTCAACCCCATCGATCCCTTTTGCGACGCTCCGCTGCAGTTGCGGCGCTGACGCCCGCGGGCCTCGATCCCCAAACCTCCGTATCGTCAACCCAACTGCAGTAACCTATAGGGCTAAGCCCAAGCCTGGAGTTGGCCCACGCAAAACCCAATATAAGGTGATGCGGCGTAGTGCCTAGGCAAAAAAAAACGGCCTGGGCATCAACTTTGCCTGAAACCAAACCCATAGCCGCTGAGTATCCATGCCGGCCTACCCAAACCGTGTCGTACCCACCCCCGCGCGCCATCCTGTGCCGCCTCATTTACCGAGCAAGGTCGCACTGTCGCTGTCGATGCCGTCGTCCTCGCACGCGCGCTCGCCTCGGTCGAACGTACCAATCAAAAGAAAATATCCTTAAWTCCTACTTAATAAAAAAAAAAAAAAAAAAAATAAAACAAAGTTAAATCGACCGGCATCCGCTCCGGCTTTATAATCAACGACCAGGAAAGGAATCCCGCGCGCCTTAAACCCCTGCGCGCCCACCCACTCTCTACTCTAGCCAACTATCCGGCCATCGTAACCACACAGACGCAGCTGCGCTTCGAGCGATATACTTAACTTTAAGCCAACCCATTTGTCTGTAATTTGCAAAAACCAGGGCTGATACCCTTGTAAGGGTATTCGTGCCGACAGCTTACCGGACCACATTAAGCGACGTCTCTGTCGCTTCGCAAAATCGAAAAGCTATGAGATTACCGAAGATGCTGACGAAAGAGGAACCAATCCGATTAGCCGACAAACACATGGTAGAGGCCTCCATCAAACCATGCCTCCACAACTATATGCTGCCAGGTTTCTAACTTGGGCCTACACCCCAGTCACTAGGACGCTGATAGCATAAGTTCCAAAGACTTTCCCAATCATCCTCTCCCCGGTCCTAGACAACCTTCGGCTTCTCGTTGGGTGTCCCTAGTCCTGGCCAAAACTAGGGACCCGGGCCCTAACCAAGACCTTTGAAGACACTCTTGCCTTCCTTCTCAGAGAATCTCTCGCAATCAAATACACATACGTATATTTGTATACTTTATATCCACTCAGCGCTTTCTGCAATCTAGTACAGAAAGGCTAGGTCTCCATCTTGGTCCACCATAGCCTGGCTGATCGGATCAGGACTATGGCCCACCGCATTGTTATTTTAGCGGCAGTACCCTCGTTGGTTACGCAACAATAGGTTTTCTCCTGATAAGCATTCAATCAGGATTTCCAAAAATTTCTCAACCTTTACAACCCCAGGGAGTAGTTTCCCTGGGGCGGGCAACTCGCCTTAAACTCTTACTGCGCGGTCCCGCAGCCAGGTTGCGCCGGCTAGCAACCATTCACTGGGGTTACGCCCTAGAGGTGCTAATCTTTACCGCTTAGCTTGGTATTCCCCTACTATGTCTCAGAACTAGCACAAGTGGTTAGACGAAGCGTCGCAAAACCAATCACGGACCCAGTGCGGGATTACGCAGGGGTCTGAAGGCATTTTCCAGCTTTCCCACGAAAGGCATGGCATCCTTCGCACAATCACAAACAAAATTCACTAGGTCCACAAGGTCGTGACCCCTGACTTGATCAGAGTCAGCAACCACCCATCCTGAGACATTTCTCGCCCTGCACTCTTTTGCGACTTTCTCAAACATCTTAAACAAACGTGGTTTCTTTTCGTCAGACTTTATCAACTCAAACACTGCTTACCATGCCCTTAAATCCATTAACCACCTTTCACACGAAGGGGGTCTCTCTCAATAGGTCTCCCAGCCATCCCTCTCTTCCTAGGACCAGCCATCACACGACCTTTTTTAAAACACCTCCCCTTTGGGGGATGAGTCTTCCGATAAACAACAGTACCGCCTTCCTCAAACTGAAGGGGCCTCAACCATAAAACAACTCAAATTGAGAGGCCTACTTATGGGCCCTCTCCGCGACTCAACCACGAACCAACTCAACTGAGGGCCTGCTTATGGGTCCTTTTCGCAACTTAACCATAAAACATCCGGCATGGTAAGTGCTCGAGCCTCAAAGACTCGCAAAATCCCTTAGGATTTTCATACTTTCACAATAACAGACTGCACTCCCTCTCCTTATACTCGGCCCTATCCTGCCTGTAGGCAGGCTGCACAAGTATACCGAAGAGTAGACAGTTCACATCAATTTATCCTCACAATTTTCACACAATCCAATACACATGAGATGTATCTCACACATCTCTCACACAAAGTCATCATACATCAGGATAACCACCCATGTGAGAGTGATTGTGATCGTCATATACAAAAGACAGTCTCGGATAAGGCCTCAACTCAATATATACACAGGGGTACAATACCTCAACTCAAACGCGGACCAAATGTTTCGAATTACATATATACACTCGGAGTTGAGTAATTTCAACTCAAACCGTCACTGGTATCACACAAGAACAAATGCAGTCTCCCTAACCAAACTATAGCTAAAACTGTTTGATCATGACGCAACCATACTTTTCAATCCGAAGGGCCCAAGTAATCCCGGACATATCCAGATATCCAAAGAAAAGTAAGGCGAGGAGTCACCCATACACCAATCCTGCAACTTCTTTCCTAGGCTAGGTGGCCTATTTCCCCCACGCTGAGGTTTATTCCCATACCTCTCTTACCTTTTACGCCTATACATCTATCTAGGCCTAGGCACGACGTAGGTCCCATTTCTTCTTTTCTCAGTCAACAGGCCTAGTAGAACAGACCCTTATTTCGTAACAATACCGTCAGGGTCACCCCGTGCTCCATCCACTTGAGACATCCCAATAACATGGTGTGAGGCAAACCTAACATACCCCATACATACACAAAGACCCAAATCACACAAATCTATCCCAACTGTACACGCCAACATATCACACCTCTGGACACAATCACCCAAATCACACCAAAAGAAAAAACAAAGATTCGTCCAGCACTACAATCTGCATATGTACAGATGGACAAGCTAGTTGTAACTACCCCTAGATATGCACATATCTAATTCCATTCTTATATATAAAAACCTTGGTCCTACTGACGTACAGGTGAACCAGTCCCCACTCACTCATTGCCCCTTTTGGTTTTACCTATACGACTGAGTTGTCTACAACCTAAGTTACTTTACCGGACCATTATTATGAAACCTCTCCCCAGTTCTAACCTATGCACATACACACATCCAAGTATATGTCTGCCCCGACCCAGATAATATGCAACTAGGCTTTACCAATTAGTATGGGGTTAGAGTCAAACAATGGTTAGACTGGTACTCCCGTTCCCAGATTAATACATATACAACTAGCCCCTACCAACACGAGTCCAAAAATCCAGGGCAGGCGGCTGACAGAAACTTTCCAATCCAGGAGTTAGGGTGAATCCCCATTACGTCTTACTATACTTTCTCTGCCCTAGTCGTCTCATCTATGCTCTCCGCACACTTAACCACTTGGCTCACTCTAAAAACCATCTCATTCGGCACCATCATGCCCCTTTCTTCTTTGAGCCCCACTTATGGTTTTGTTGGCTTCCACCTCGACCTTCGGCGCCTTGCATGTCATTCCCACGGCCTCTTTTGCAGCGTCCACCATCTCCACGGCCCGCATTGCCACGCCTGCCATCTCCTCGGCCCCTTCCAACTGCCTGCCTTTGGCCCCTTCCACCTGTCATACTGTCCTGCGAAACTTGCTGTATCGGTGACCACAACGGTCCGACGGGTTGGATTTGGACTGGCGGGGGCCCACGGGGCATCATGTTCGTCCAAGGGCGCATATAATTGCTTTGCGCCAAGGGCATATAAGGACTGTGTGTGCGACAAGTTCATTCGGTTACCCGGCGTCCACTGCCCATGTAATGCTTGCTCGATCAGAGGAGGCCCCCTTGGTCTTGCCTCGCCTCCCCCCTCTTGCGGGGTAGCCGCTACTTCTGCGAACTCTGTCCCTTTTCGGTACCTTGACCGCCCTGAGCGAGGTTCCTCGCCCTTCGTTGCGCCTTTGTCAACTTGAGAGGTCCATGCTCCTCCTTTATCTCATCCTCTCTTTTGCCTTTGTCCCTCGCTTGAACACTGGCTTGCCTCTTTGGGGTTCCTATCGAGAGGGGCGATTCCTGGTCACCCTTCTCTACTCCTCCTTCACCCGGGGAGTCTTCTGAAACCTTCCGCTTACCCTTCCTCGCCTCTTCCAGCCGTGCTAACCTCTCCTCCAATACCCCTACTTGCCTTTGTAACCCACTTAACTCCGCCTGCGATGGTGCGCCCGTAACTGGTGGAACAAAGCATTCCCCACGTGGGCCTTCTATTCCATCTTCTGGGAATCTTAGCCTTAAGGAACACACCAATTCATCCCACATTTCCGACTCCTGCTTGAGGGTATATACCTCCTCACTTAGTCTTTCACAAACAAACAGCGGGAACATGCACCTCATCGCCCTCTGGTCGCACTTCTTTACAAGGCTGAAGCCCTGAAAGTCGTGTAGGAAGCTAGACAAGTTCCTTCCTTGGAACAACAAAGCACGGAGGTCTGGCGGCATCGACTCTCGCAGTGCCTCGCACAACAACACCTTCATCTGACACGAATTCCTCCAACGTAGGATCTTGGCGAAACCGCTCTCTTCCGCCATGATGCTGATGACCGTCTGATACGCAAAGCGGGCAATAAAATCATCAAACAGAAAGCTCAAGCAGACAAGGGCAAACTGCTAATACTTAAATCACACTATCTACCCTTTTACTCACGCAATCAGGCCTCAAGCTCTAGTTACCCTGACGCTTACCTTTATAACTACGGTAATGGATAGAGAGACAACCTCAGCCAAGCCAAAGGAAGCGTATTTAGTAGGAGAAAAGGCATTCGCTACCTAACTACTGCTACCCGAATCTTACCCCAGTCTCGTACTCCCTCATCTGGGTCATGATAACTAGCATATGCGTCGACCACATTAACCATGCTCCTAAGCCACTGACTAGGAGGAGAAAACCTTAGGTCCGGATACAATCCATATACCAGCTCGCATGTATAGCACCCACTCCCCCATTCCCGTGTTTTCAAAGCGGCGTCAGCTGTTGCCACTATCCTCGTTTGTCCACCAAAATACTTCTCAACGAGAAACTCGGGCAGGATGACCCGTAGTGGCGCTGACGGAAGCACAAACTCCTCAACACGGTTGACCTCTATACGGGTTAATACTTGCTCTTCTCCATCGCAAGACACTTCCTTCGCCCACTTTACTGCAGCTGCCTCAGCCACTCTCAAAGGCCTCGTGAGAGGGCTCCCGTGCCCAAGTGCCAACTCAACCCCATGCCCGACCCAGAATGAGGAAGAGGCGTACAAAGTCACTCTCACAATCGCGCATCCCTGATCATCATCAAGACCGAACTCGATCCAGGCGAAAATATCTTTGCCCATCAATGTGCCCCACCAGGAAGAGATATACTCTCCCTCCTTGACACGCCTTGGCAAGGAAATCTCAAACCCATCTCCCTTCTTGACCGGCAAGGTCACACTGGGATCTTCCTTAGCATAAGGCATCCTGAGTTGCCTTCGCTCTGGTCTGGGTTTTGCCCATCACAGAAAGAACGTCCAGCATACGCTTTCGGTTACAATGCCAATAATCGCGCTCTATCATCTCTACCCGTATTTGAGGAGCAGTCCAAACACATATAAACGCCCATAGGTTAAAAATCGAACTCGAGATGCTCACATAAATCCTGGCAGACTGATAATTCAAATGCATACCTCAGATGCATAACCTATGTAAATATTTCTGACAAGGATAATTATCAAAGGACCCTAATCACCAAGCACATAGCCTCACACGATCAGACACTAGGCAAGCTTAGTCAGACAGTATCCGACATATAGGACTGAGTTCAACATATAACTTAAATAGAAATGCCCTCAGACGAGTGGTCTCAGGTCCTTAGTTCCAATTCGTAGATTCCAGTGGATGGTCCAACCCTAGTAATGGCTCAAAGCAATGGTCTACCATAAATAACATGGTATGCCCTCCACTATCAGGCGTCATACAAGTCTACTACTTCCCGTAGTCCTTTCTATTGGGGCCTTACCACGGTGCTCACTGCACCTCTTTACTGCCTTATACGCCTAATTTCAAACATACCATGCGGGGTAAGCCTCAGACTTCCATGGCTATGCAACTCGAGCAACTGCTTAGAATCCAAATTCCAGGATCCCAATTCATACTCATACAGACTCTCAATATCCTTAGCCTACCCTCCTCGAGGTCCCTTGACAACTCCTAACCTAATAGGCTTCCTTTACTCATTCTATGCTTCGCCCTAAAGCCAAAGTGCTACATTGCACCCTTGAACACTCGAGTAACTTCCCTTAACCATAATGGGCACCTCACACGGCCAACTCCCACAACCACCATACTTGGCTTTGCCGATACCACCTCATCCTATCTTAGTAGTATCAACCATGCAATCATAGCCCAAACCCATCAACTATCAAAGTCAGAAGAGGTATCCACTCCAACTTCCGTCATACTAGTCAAAGTACGCAAGTGCATAGTCGAAGTACGTATGCACATAGTCAACGTACGTGGGCGTATAATCAAACTTTATCCTTTTCGCGCCACCCTTACTGCACCGAGCCAGGACCCACTTGCACAATCAACCCTCACTCGCTTTTTATCTAACACCTTCAATCGACTAACCACAAAGGCTCAACAAAAGCCTCCCGTTTTGTCTAGTTCTCACAATCCCATACCCGGATGTCGCTCCACCAGGGACAACGGTAGGTGACCGTTATCCCCGGCAACGACGCCACCTGTCGGGCGCATCGGTCTGGCACCGCACGCGGCAGCGCGGGACCCTCTCGGCCGCGTCACATAGGAGTTGGACCTACCTTGCCGTGAACACACAAATGGAGCTTCCTTAGGCCGCTCCGGCCGAGTGCACCAGCCATACCTCTCGCGAGCCCCTACGACAAGATAGGGTCTACGCGAGGCACAACTTACCTCCACCTTACACGAGATGTCACCTCCCTTCGGTGGGCGTATCCCCGCCGAGCTACCAGTCCACAGTACGAAAGCTACTTGGTTGCAATCGCAGAGGTGGACCAGCCGATGACGTTTCTCGTTCGCTGTAGCATAGGGGGTACGCGCGGTAATACGCCTATCGGACCCACACGCGAACCGACATCTTGGGGGCCTGAGGTCCCAAGCGCGACTAGTCGTCGGTTGACTAGGACGCATCCCACACACCATAGGCACACCACTTCACGAACACAAAAATAAAATACACACACACCAAACGACGCAACACAAACAACGCGACAACGCTCCTAGCCCCTTGGTAGCCATCTCATAACTTTCCGATGCAGAAATCGAATAGGCGTCGCGAGCGAGACTTAGTTTAAAATCGCGCGGACGCAGGGCTATCTCATATCGACTCGCAATGCAGACGTGCGCAAGCAGTCGCAATGATGGCGTACTATGTAGTGCCCATAATCAAGCGGTCCCTCGTGGGTTCGAGTACCGCTTATGACAATCAACTGTCAGACTCGAAGTGTCGTGAGGGTCTAATCCTTCATGACATTGCACGCCTGAAGGAATAGTCGTGCAGCCGCCGGGAGACCTCCGACCTTTGGTCTGAGCGTTTCGGCAGGCAAGGCAAATAGGCTCTGCACGGGGGCAGATTCCTTCCCTGCAGAGTCTAGGGCTTGGGATGTCATGGACAAAGACCTTGAATCCCGGCCCAGGACCAACGTCCGACTATAAAAATCTCTACGAAGCAAAGGACAAAAGGGGATCTCCCTTTTTATCTCAAGCCATGATCTGGTTAACCCTTGCGCACGATCACCATAAACTGTGCGTATACCCAAGGCACATATAAGTATATATATGCACGACTTACTTATATAGGACGATCACTTGTCACAGTCACAGCGGGGCTCCTCTCAGCCATCTCGCAAGCAGTCACATCGAGAAGCCGAACCGCAACCACACCTGCAATCACATCAAAGATTCATCCAGAAGCCGAACCGCAATCATACCTGCAATCACATCAAAGATTCATCCAGAAGTCCACGCACTACACGGGGTCAACTTCAATCATTTCTTGCACTCATACCCCTCGCTTTAGCCATACAAGCCTCACTCGTGCAACTCTTAAATAAATACTCAGTACTTTTGTTGGATGGTCATTCAATAAAGTCCGGGTGAAAACACAACAAAACAGTTCAATCACAAGGCTAAAGCCTTTAGGTTGAGTGGCAGGGGTGGATTGGAGTTGAATCGTAAACCGACGAATCGGCAACCAACCTGTTATCAGTGATGACAGAAAATGATCCTCGTGGGATCGAGCTGAATCTAGTCCAGATCCTGAATCAAATGGTCCAGAGAACGTGTAACACATGACAGGTCAATCCCCAAGCTAAATCTATAAGTCTTTGGAGAACAGAACTCCAAAACACATTCTCACTCAAGACTATCTATCAACCAAGTCTAAGTCTACCTCTAAGTCAGTGCCCAAAGCAAAGGTAGACTAACGGCAAGATCTTCCCTATTCAGGGTGGATTGACAGAATCGCCACCTGTCAAAATATAATCTATCTCCTTTAAACTAAGAAAATTTCGGCAGCGCTTCCTGTAGGAAAAGTGCCTTTTCAAAATTTATATCAGCCCGAATACGAAAACAGAAATAGTCTTTTGACTTTCCAGGGTCCAATTTTGTCGAACTACCTGAATTAGCAAAAAATTGGGCAACACTCCCTTTAGAAAATGAGACTACCCAAATTTTTACTAGGTCATATATAAAATTTAGACAAGTTGAACTTTGACAAGTCAAAATTTGACTAACTCCTTAGCTTTGCAGAAATTTCAGCAGCGCTTCCCGTAGAGAAAGTAGCTTACCAAAATTTATACAAAACCAAGTATAATAAAATATCCCAGAAAATGCAAGAATCGATCTAAGTAAAAAAAACTTAGCCCAGAAAATGCAGGAACTGGACTAACTCCTATTGCTTTAGCACGTGGCGAGCAACTACAACAAACTACCTGTCAAACTGAAACTCACACCAAGTAGTAGCCTCACTCAGTCTCATGCAGGCCAAACCACAAATGTAAGTACTCTCACCATCCCCAAGCCAACTTGGCAGACAATAGTTTGTAATCTCTCGATGCTCTATTCCGTTATACCCAACTTACATAGGACATAAAGCCAAGCCGTCCAATCTTATGGAACCTGCGTGACTCACCCATTCAGTATACACGAACAGGTTGCACAACTACTTCTCTCTTCCTTTTGGGCATATGACTAAGCCGTTCATCTTAGAACAAGGTTCAACCGTCCTGAACTGTTTAATATCCAAATTATATATACCTCTCCGAGCTTAGTGTTCAAACGCTGACTGTAGGACTGAGCCGTTCATCTTAGAAACAAGGCTCAGCCTGCCCAAGGTTACCTTCAGTTATACTCTTAATTATACTTTCTTCACTTCATAATAAGCTATAGCCAGATCGTCCAATCTTATGAAACCCATGTCTGGCTAGCCTGTTCATAAATAGGATAGTCCAACCTTTTGGGTTCCAGCATGTGCGAGGCATTGGGCCAGATCGTCCAATCTTATGGAGCATATCCGGTCCTCTGCCATGTTCGTTTCTCTCTCATCCACTGTGTGCGGCATGAGTCCAAGGCCGTCCAATCTTATGGACATGCCTTGCCCTCAGCGAGAATTAGTCCCTCAGAATGAAACAGGGAGGGGTTGAGTCGTCCAATCTTATGGACTTGCTCAGACCTCCTTGACCAAAAACAAAAGAAACAGAACAAACCCCAATCAAACATGGCAACTAAACCCTCCAATCTTATGGTACAGGTTTGGCCCCTGAAAAATCAGCCACAGTCAGACCCTCACAATTCATAGGTCTGACCCCATAGGACCCCGTCAGCCTCAGGCAAAACCACCTTTCACTCACCCTTCCCCAGATGCACCCCCTTTGTGTTCACAATCTGCGTTCAGGCAATCAATAAACTGAAACAACGATTGCACATACATTCCTTTATTTAGCCTGAATTGAGTCTTGTCAGTCAAACCAAAGTCAAGTAAGGGTGCACGCAACATACTCAGACAAATGTAGCAAGATGTACAGGTAGGGGTTATACCAGGGTATATAGACGGGAAGCAATGGTTACCTCTCAGTTCGCTGCCTCCAGAACTCCTCCTGAGTTCCGGCAGAGCTCCCGCAATCGGTGGGCAGACTCCCCACAGAGTCTTCCTACGGTCCTACGGGTTGCAATCCCGCCTGCCGCCTTCCTCTCAGATCAGGACTAGACTAAGATTTAGAAGGGCAGAAGCAGAAGTATTAAGTCTCTCAGATACAAGAGGGGTGCACTCAGACTCGCAGGAGAGGGTCTTCCATCCTTCAGTCGCATGAGGGCCCCGAAATGGCAGCCAAAACAGAACAGCTTGACCAAACTGACGTCCACTACTGAACCGACTTCCTTCTAACAATCTCCCGGGTCATAGCACTAATCCTTCCACACAAGCCGACCATCCCTCCTTTCTAATTCAATTACTTCTCCCTTCACGCCTCGCCCGAACGACAGCCGACCGCAACCCAAACACC